ATGTCTGTTTCTGTTTTTATTATTATTTCAGTTGTTTCTAAGGATGATGTGAACTATTCAACACTATATCCGTTGCGGCAACAGTGTACCATAAAATCTATATAGTAATTTATGCTAATTAGTTCTGATCTATTTACTTATACCCTTTAATAGCCACATGTTATTTGATTTTTGATTTCATATTAGTGTATTTACCTCTAACGTATAGCAAAGAACTTTCACTCTTCAAATTACTTAAACTCAGTCTTAGATTTAAACTTTTTATAAATTTCACAGGCAATGACTCAACACAAGCCTTATTAGTCATTGAAAATTATTAACTTATTTTACACCCGACATTTTTTATGACTAAGGTTGTGCCGAGGCACAGTAAGTGGCTGTTACAGGAGATTGATGCGAAATTACATCTTTACTGCTTTATCGGTAATAGAATACTACTATTTTGATTTCTTGTGAAGAGATTCAACACCTTCAAGGGTTGTGGGATCTGGCTGCCTTAATAAAGGAAACCTTTCAGTCGAACAGAACGAAATCCAAATACATCGTGAGGATATGCATGAACACCTGCATAAGTCACTCGAAGATGGGATAAAAAATAATAATAAAAAAGCACTTTCAAATTTTCCCTATTGTGATGAGAAACGGTGATATTTTGTTTCCATTTTAAATCCATTTTTCTGTTTAAAAGAACCTTTTTTCCTGTTAAAAGTCCTACGTCTCTCTTTTTTAAGCTGTAAGTGGAAGTTAAATCACTAATAAATTAATACCATGGCAACGAACCCCGATATTGAAACCGATATTTCATACGAAATTTTCACGTTCTTTCGAAACCTTAATAATGCAGTGGAATACTGTGATGCATCCGCTTTACACGATCTCTATGAGATTCAGTTTGAAGCCCTAACAAAAAAGCATTATATCATTGGTCCTGGCCAGACACGACCATGGCCATCTCTGCGCCTCAAGGTTGTATCTGATAATTTCAAAACTAAAATTGCCGAACAGGTGTATAGCTTCATTTATTACAAGCACCTCTTTACTGATCGTGCGGCGAAGCTACAGGATGCAAAGGTTTCATGGGCAACCTTCTCAGATCTCTTCGCTGCCATCGCGGACGGCTATTTTGAGCTGCCAAGCTGGATGCTATGGGACGTCTTTGATGAATTTATTTATCAAATGACAGTGGTTTATCAAAAACGCTTTTCCACTCGTTCTGAGTGGACTTTGGCAGAGACTTTCAGCATCATGGATCGCGTGATCGAGAAGTCGGGTATCATTCCACTGATGTCTCAGCCCAATATTATTGAGGACCTTACCAAAGATGGCAACACCAGGGTCCTTGGCGGGTTCTTCGCGATTATAACGCGATCTAAACTAAACGTTCTCCTTGGCAGCTACTTCGATGCGCTGTCGGATCTCCAACCTCTTGATATCTTTGGTGTGGGTCGCTCTGTTCTTCAGAAAGTCACGCCCGCCTACATTTCCCTGCTTTACAACGTCGGGTTCAGTTATCTTATGATCCACCGCTATGAGGATGCCAGCAACAACTTTCGCCGCTGCCTGGCGGTCAAGTCCTCCGGGCGAAAATTCTCGGAGCGGCTTCAGCTGGATGCGGCGTATATGTTCGTGTGCTCGCGCGTGCTGGGGGGGATGTTGATCACCAACGTCAGCTCCTATCTCGATCCACGCAAATTAGCCTCCTTTGAGGACGATAAGGAGTCCCTGCGCTTAGGTGACGAGGAACGATTTCGAGACGTGTTCGATCGCTGCAGTCCGAAATTTATCAGCGTCCCGCCGCTGGCCACCGGTGTTAAAGGGACAGAGGGGAAGGAACTTCAAGCCCGGATGTTCCGCCGTGCGGTGCAGCAGCAGCAGGAGATCATCAAGCTTCGCGGCTACTTCGGCGTTTATCAGAATACCAAAATGAGCTTACTGGAGACGCTTTTAGACACCGACGATGGTTATGCTCCTCTCTTTGCGCTCAAACTTCGTTCTCGGCAGCTTGTGCACAATGGAGAGTCCCCGGACCTTCTCTCAGGAGACCACAAAGTCAGTGCGCAATACGATTGCATTGTTAGTGATGATAACGTCGAGGTCGTGCCGTGTGTTAATTTTGGTGGCATGGAAGGAAAATTCTTCAATAAAATCAAAGGACTCCAACGCGCGCAGCAGAAACAAGCGCAACGCAAGCAAAATCAGACCCGACCACGCCGTGATCTCGGCGAGGGCAAGCCACAGCAAGGTGAGCGTCGCCGGTTACAGCAGAAGGGCGGGAAAGGTGCTCAAGAGCGTGGTCAAAATATCCGGAATCCCCAACAGCGTCGTTATAATAATACCCAACATCGTGCCGCTCCATTGAGTAGCGATACAAATAACCTATTCAACAGGAACGTGGAGCAGTAAAGATGAATTCAACTTTGGAGAGGATGACTTTTGTTTTCTTGTTTGACTTTGTGTTGTTGTTGTTTTCTTAAGAGGATGGGCGCTAGATTTTGTTCGTTTTTGTTAGTGATAGGAAATATCAATAAATAAGCTTTTGTTAAATAAAATCGTTAAGGTAATAGGACAGAGCTTAACATTTCATTTGCTCGAAACGTCGTGAACCTACCACAAATTTTATCAGTTATTGCTTCTTACCAAGTTTCTATAACTTTTCCTTTAAGCAGCTTCTGCTTGTCCTATGGTTTTCTTTCCACTCTTTTTTTTTTCAAGAGCATTTTCCTTTTTTCAAAAACAATTACAAAATCAACATAACAACATTAGTATGTCTTTTAGTAGCGACAAGGAGGAACTTCCGGATCTACCAGAGATCCATGAGTTTCGCCATATTTCTCGCAATCAACTGGAGGATCAATTTAAAAGACTGATGCAGCTCGAGAATGAGTTCAAGGGATTTAAAAAGGAGATGCAGACCACTACACTTGGCACTTTTGCTCAAGCTTCGAGTAATACCAAAATTGAACTACATAGTTCATCATCAGACGAGAAATCAGATGTCCATGACGCTTCGGCAGATAACAAAGCGGTTGGATGTTCTGAAAAGGTTGACGAAAAGATGCGTAGTCAAGAAGTTCAATATGAGCTAAGGATGCTTGTTCCTCATTTATCACCTGAGTTCAACTGTAGCTTCCAAGACGCTGTGCTTCTCATCACAGCAGTCCGAAGAGGCCACGGTGAGGAGGGCAAATGTTCGCTATTAGATAAAATCACCGTTCTGGAGGCAGAAAAACGTTCCTTGTCTCAGAGACTTACTAAGAAAACTAATGAGAGTGAGGATCTTAGGTCTCATCTAGTTGGTGTGCAGGCGAAGATACAGGCTATCAAGGAAGTGGAAAAGAACAAAAATAACGTTTTATCCAAAAGAAGAGAAGAAATGAGAAAGCAACTTCTTATTGAAGAAGGTAAAGTTCAAAAGCTAAACGTGAGGTATAAAAAATTAGAAGTTGAGCATGAAGAACTTAAGTCTCGCATGCGAGCAGGTCTTCGCTAGGAGGAATCTGGGATAGTTGCGTATTTTCAATTTACAATAATTTATATCTTAAGCTTTATTCGTTTTAATTTTATTATTTATTCTTTCCTTTTCATTTTTGCAGCATATCATTATTTACTTACTGTGATTGCGCAATGCTAACAGGTGCGTCGTCGTCGTGGAAAAAATGTAAAATCAAACAAAGCTACACCACCCCGTCCCATTTTCAATGGACCATTAGTCAAGATGCATACTCAAGGAAAGAACTCTAAATGATTTTTTTCTCTTCTTTGTTTTAAATAGTTAGGATCAATTAATTATCACTGATTGTTGCGTCCTTGACGTCTATTCATAATAGTTTGAAAGCAATCACACACGCCCCAGGTTTTCGTAGTTGTAATGGGTGTTACTCGAACAATTAAAAAAAAGGGTCCGGCCCTCGTGTCAATTCTGGAGACAAGGTTACCGTGCACTGCACTGGCTACGTAGTGGATGGGAAAAAAGAATTTTGGTCCACCAGGAAGGACAATCAGCCATTCGACTTTATCGTTGGTGCTGGTCATGTTATCAAAGGGTGGGACGAAGGGGTAGTGCAGATGCACACCGGTGAGGTAGCTGAGCTTCTCGTGACGTCCGACTGTGCGTACGGTATTCATGGATTTCCGGCGTGGAATATACCATCCAATGCGGATTTGATCTTCGAGATAGAAGTTTTAAACACTACGGCTGATTGATATTAGAAGTCATATGCTTTATAAAGGGTAGGAAAATTGAATAAACGAGACCATCTGGCATGTTTCTATCTTAACTTCCTTTTTTTGTTGTTGTTTCGAGGTTCTATGTGAAGAAATCATTCCTTTCCCAAATTTCCTTTTATTGGCATAACTGTCTCCGCCTTTATGTGCCTCAAAACATTGATACACCCAACTGATTCTATGCTACTCTCTTAGGAATTTTTAATAATCAGAAAGTAACTTTTTCATTATTTTTTCCTAAAGAAAAGCTGCATGTGTGAAGAAAAATAAGGCATTACATCTAAAAATAGTTCTAAAAACAAATTGTTCACTCATATTGTGTTTTCTTTGGTGAAAAGTATAAACCATGACGATTAAGTATTCATTGGTTATTCCAACCTACAAGGAGAATGGAAACATAAAGCCTCTTTGCAAACGTGTTTTCAAAGCTCTTGAGAGCTATAACTTCAAACTTAATGAAGTGGAAATGCTTTTTGTTGACGACAACTCTCGTGACGGCTCCGTTGAAATTGTTAATGAGTTAAAGAAAGAGGGATTTAATGTCCGTATCGAGGTGCGTACCACCGAGCGCGGTCTCAGCAGCGCTGTTATTTATGGACTAAAAAATTCATCTGGTGATCTTAAGCTTGTAATGGATGCAGATTTGCAGCATCCACCAGAATCTGTACCAGCACTTTTTAAGTGTTTAGAAAAGGATGATAATCAATTTGTGTGTGGAACTCGCTATGGCGTGGGCGCATCGATTGACAAAAATTGGCCACTTTATCGTCGCATCATCTCATCCACAGCCCGTCTTATGGCCCGCCCTTTGACAACACTTTCCGATCCGATGTCTGGATTCTTTGCCATTCGGAAGGAATGCTTTGAATTAGGGCTCAAGGATATTGATCCCATCGGTTATAAAATTGCATTAGAGCTTTTTGTGAAATGTCACGTGGCTCGGTACGATGAAGTGCTCTTTAACTTTTCAACAAGGAGTTTTGGAGAGTCGAAGCTTACTGGTAAAGTATTCTCTGACTATATAAAGCACTTGCATAGACTCTATTCTTACAAATTCGGGGTTATGTACTATTCGGTGTATTTCATGTGTGCATTGATTGCATTCCGACAAATCTGTGTGTTTTGCAACAACATTTCTATAAAAAGAGATTAATTATGTCATCGTTTCTTTCATCCTCAAAAACGTAGACAATATATACATATATTTATGTATATAATTAATATTTTTATTTTGGAACTTCAAGGACAAATTCCATGATCCTTTTTCCCGATTTGGGGTGTTGAGGGCGGAAAATAAGATCATACCATATCTGAAGCTCCTCAAGAGGTTCTACGTGACACAGATTTCATGTATCTAATCTTTGCGTAATAAACTAGATCGACGTTCGATGAGTTGGATTCCTATGTCTATGTGCATAATTCCTTTTTGTGTGTATAATGTCCTACAGTAATAGCAGTATCGCTTTCCTAACCTTTTTTTTGTTACAGTTTAATTTTTCATAGAATCCCTTGAAAACTGGATTACTTCCTTTTCTTTATATCATTATACTTTTTGTGTATTTTGGAGCTCATCCCATATTTTCTCCACCACAACACTTTTTTATATAGTATTAAGTAGACTTGTTAGAGTGCAGAACTTTGTTAGATTTTATGCCGTTGTAAGTGCGATGGGTGTATTTTATTGGTGGTATAGGTTGCGTAATTCTCGATTCAGAGATGTCCCTTTCGTTTCCCTAGGGTTATTCATAGGATGGAACAGTGACTTTTTTTGCACTGTCAATGGCCGATCGATGCTGCCAACATTAAACCCGGGAGATTTTCTTTTTTTTATACCTTATTCACTTTTATCTTTCACGAAGTTATTCAACAAAAGAGTAGTGAATGAGGGCGACGTAGTTGTTCTTAAGATATCAGATAATCTTTCGGTCTGCAAGCGGGTCGTTCGCATGACAGCATTACCACAGGAAGCTTCGGACTGGAATGCTCGGCACTTCATCGATACAGAATCATATTTGGCTGAAGAGAGTAATGTCATAGTCTCACAAGAAAAAAGAGAAATGGATAACACTTTTAAGAAAACCTTGCGCTCTCATAAATGGGATTCATGTATTGATAGGGTTTCAAATCCTTCTCAATGGATATGGGTAGAGGGGGATAATAAGGAAACTAGCATGGATTCCCGCTCATGCGGCTCCATTCCGGTTGAGTGTCTTCGGGGACGTGTTATTGGGGTCGTTTGGCCACATTTTAGGCTTCTTTGACATTTAATTAAGGAGTTAATATTATCACAAGAAGCCATAAATTAAAAAAATTTTTTTTCTTCAAGCATGAATCTAAACATGAACATAATAATGTTAACCCGTTTGTTTAATAATTAAATCAAGTCATTTTTCTTTGTAAATTCAATACTACTTTTTTTTATTCTAAATTAATTTACATAGTTATTAGAATTCTTTCTATACTTGATCGTTTCCAAAATGGTGAACTTCACTGTTGATGAGGTGCGCAACCTCATGGACTATCCGGACCAGATCCGTAACATGTCTGTCATTGCCCACGTTGACCACGGTAAGTCTACACTTTCCGACTCGCTTGTGGGTGCTGCTGGTATCATCAAGATGGAGGATGCGGGTGACAAACGCATCATGGACACCCGCGCCGACGAAATTGCTCGTGGCATCACGATCAAATCGACTGCTATTTCCATGCATTATCACGTACCCAACGACATGATCAAGGAGCTGGACGACGATAAGCGCGACTTCCTCATCAACCTTATCGATTCCCCTGGACACGTTGACTTCAGCTCCGAGGTGACGGCTGCGCTTCGCGTGACGGACGGCGCACTCGTGGTCGTGGACTGCGTGGAGGGCGTGTGCGTGCAAACGGAGACGGTGCTTCGGCAGGCGCTGACGGAGCGTATCTGCCCCGTGGTGTTCATTAACAAGGTAGACCGAGCCATATTAGAGCTCCAGCTGGACCCCGAGGAGGCGTATCAAGGCTTCGTGAAGACGCTGCAGAACGTGAACGTTGTGATTGCGACGTACAAGGACCCGTGCATGGGTGACGTTCAAGTGGCACCCGAGAAGGGTACTGTGGCCATCGGATCCGGCCTGCAGGCGTGGGCATTCTCGCTGACGCGTTTCGCAAACATGTACGCGGCGAAGTTTGGCGTGGACGAGATGAAGATGCGCGAACGCCTATGGGGTGACAATTTCTTTGATGCGAAGAACAAGAAGTGGATCAAGAACGAGACAAACTCTGATGGCGAGCGCGTGCGCCGTGCTTTCTGCCAGTTTTGCATGGACCCCATCTACCAGATTTTCGATGCCGTGATGAACGAGAAGACGGATAAGGTGAACAAGATGCTGAAGTCACTGAACATCTCGTTGACGATGGAGGAGCGGGATCTTGTGCCAAAGAAGTTGCTGAAGGTCGTCATGATGAAATTCTTGCCTGCCGCGGAGACGCTTCTTCAGATGATTGTGTCTCACCTGCCGTCACCCAAGAAGGCCCAGCAGTACCGTGCGGAGATGCTGTACTCTGGTCCTGCGTCGGAAGAAGATAAGTACTACACGGGTATTAAGAACTGCGACCCGAATGCTGCCTTGGTTCTTTACATCAGCAAGATGGTGCCAACTGCTGACAAGGGTCGCTTCTTTGCGTTTGGTCGCATCTTCTCCGGTAAGGTGCGCAGCGGCCAAAAGGTGCGCATCATGGGTAACAACTATATCTACGGCAAGAAGCAAGACTTATATGAGGACAAGCCTGTGCAGCGTACCGTGCTGATGATGGGCCGGTACCAGGAGGCTGTCGAGGACATGCCGTGCGGTAACGTTGCGGGCCTGGTCGGCGTGGACAAGTACATTGTGAAGTCCGCGACGATCACGGACGACGGTGAGACCCCGTACCCACTGCGTGACATGAAGTACTCCGTGTCGCCTGTCGTGCGTGTCGCTGTGGAGGCCAAGAACCCGTCCGACCTGCCGAAGCTTGTGGAGGGCCTGAAGCGCCTGGCGAAGTCTGACCCGTTGGTTGTGTGCTCGATTGAGGAGTCCGGTGAGCACATCGTCGCGGGTGCAGGTGAGCTGCACCTTGAGATTTGCCTCAAGGATCTGCAGGAGGATTTTATGAACGGTGCGCCGCTGACGATTTCCCAGCCCGTCGTGTCGTTCCGCGAGACGGTGACGGAGTTGTCGTCGGTACAGTGTCTGTCTAAATCTGCAAACAAGCACAATCGTCTGTTCTGCCGTGGTGCCCCCCTAACGGAGGAGTTGTCGATGGCCATCGAGGACGGTCACGCTGCGGCTGACGTCGACCGGAAGGTGCGCGCGCGCTACCTTGCGGACAACTTTGAATGGGATGTCCAAGAGGCGCTGAAGATCATGTGCTATGGCCCGGATAATCGCGGTCCGAACGTCGTCGTGGATGTCACGAAAGGTGTACAGAACATGAATGAGATGAAGGACTCCTTCATTGCCGCGTGGCAGTGGGCGACCCGCGAGGGCGTGCTGTGCGATGAGAACATGCGTGGTGTGCGCATCAACGTGGAGGACGTGACGATGCACGCTGATGCTATTCACCGTGGTGGCGGCCAGATCATTCCAACCGCCCGGCGTGTCTTCTATGCGTGCTGCTTGACAGCCTCTCCGAGGCTGATGGAGCCGATGTTTATTGTGGATATCCAGACCGTGGAAACTGCAATGGGTGGCATTTACAGCGTATTGACACGTCGCCGTGGTGTGATCATCGGGGAGGAGAACCGCCCCGGGACACCGATCTACAACGTGAAGGCCTACTTGCCTGTAGCGGAATCCTTTGGTTTCACGGCGGAACTTCGCTCCAGCACCGGCGGTCAGGCGTTCCCGCAGTGCGTGTTTGACCACTGGCAGGAGTACCCAGGAAACCCGCTTGAGCCGAAAACTCAGGCCAACACGACCGTACTCAACATCCGCACGCGCAAGGGCCTCAAGCCGGATATCCCAGGCCTGGACAACTTCATGGACAAGCTCTAGACTAATTTTGTGTTTGAACGTAGATCTCTAATTCTAATTATTTCTCAAAAAAAGATAATATTATAGGTATTTATCTTTTTTTAAAAAGTTAATCTGATATATTGTTCGCTTTTTTTACCACGGTTATTTTTCTTAAAATACTAAATTTAGGAATATTATTGTCACTTAAATTTTTTAATTAATATATATATTTTTTATTATATTTTCTAGAGGAGTATTGAATTTTTTAAAAGTATTTCTTTTCATTTATGTTGATGATTTTATTACTTTTTTTCATATTTTTCCTTCAATATTTTTTTTATCAGAAATTGTCTCGAATGGATAAGACTCCTCATTATTATAGGGTGAAAGACATTCCAGAATCCTTAAATCCTATTACAGGTCGTAGTATTTATTATGGAATTCGTCCTTGGCGTTGCGACGATCGTTTCCAGGACTGGCTAAAGTCTTTTCTTTCTCTTGATGGAATTGGTGTTCAATTTCAGCTTCTTAGGACACTGTATAGGTGTTCCTTTTCTGAAAAATCTGACGAGCCTTTGGATAATTACCATCGGCTGGGACGATCAGAGGTTATGTTTTATGTGGAACGTCATCGTAGTGGTATGATGCGGGAAGGTTTTTGGGAGACTTATCCTTATGATCAAAACGAACTTGCTAGGATTGCAGAGGAGGATAGTATGAAGATGCGCGTCTGGCGGCATCAGCGCGAGCTCGAAATGCAGTCTAGGGAAGGTAAACTTGATGAGCTACTTCAAAAAAGCATTTTCAAGCAACAGAAATAACGTTTTTTTTCAAATACCCAAGTCAAAATTATTCAATTATTGGATTAAAAAGATGAATCCGATGCCCAGAATATGCCTAGAATATTAACAGGATATATCATAGAAGGGTATCGACTACACTAATGACTGAAATGACAAAATGACCCCAGATGAAACTTGTTTTTTTAATTATGTCCCGAATTCATCATGAAATTATTAGTAAAAGGCATCACAAATGAGGTTCTTTTTTATACTCACAAAAATTTTTTTTTGACGTATTTCTGTTGCAGAGGTGCTAATAAATGTCAACAGCTTCACTTTCTCATGTACCTAATGGACCATATAGAATAGGACGTTTTCAATGCTTTTGATATTTTGAGGCATACTGCGGCCTATTCAACTAATCTTTATGACCAAATTCCATAGAATCAATCAAAACTTACCATTACCAAATGTGATATTAATCATTTAATATTATCATTATTAAGGGGGTTGTAAGAGTGTTGTAATTTTATGACCAGCACTGTTGCACACTTTTTTCTTCCTTTTGGAATTTTTTTTTTGGTATTTGGCTTCTTTGAATTTGGTGAGTTTGTGGTCGGTTAGGTCATTATTAATGTTTAGTTGAAAAAGGGTGTATGCAATCCTATATGACTGCACCGCTTTTTATTATTATTTTAATCTTATCTATTTGAAACTGTCCGATAAAATATAATAATAATTTTATAACAGATGGATTCAGCTTATATGTTTCGCGTCTAGTTGACTTTATTTATTTTCTTTCACCACCTTTTCTCTTTTAGAAAGATTTCATCCTCAGAGCAAATCAGTATAAGTGAATAAATCTAGGATGAAAGCCCAGTTTAATTATACCATCTTATTCATTCTGTTGTGGCTTCTTTGTTCTATAGATTGTGCCCTTAGTGCTGAGTTAAATGAATTACCTCAGGGAGGTTGGAAATTACGCGTTCTCTCGCCTGGATATTCACCACCACCACCATACGCCGTATGGGTTGATGGGGACTCGATTAATATTACCAAACTGAACACTAGTGGCCTCGATAAATTCTTTTCACGCGCAGTTGGGCTTCTTCAAATGCTAAATTTAAGAACCTATAGGGAGTCAAATGAAACTTTTCACCTCAAGAAAGCGTTTAGTCACTCGTTATTTGCCACAAAAAAAGGCGATAACATTGATGTTTATTGCAATTCAGGTCTTCTTGATGGAATGAATCTTTCTCAATTACTGAACGAGAACGGATTTTTTAGTAAATCTTTTGGTGATGCCCTACCGATACACATGATTTATGATGACCAATGCACTGCGTTGCCGTGGGGAATTGAGCACATCAGTGTTCATTATCAAAGTTCCTCTCAAAAAATTCAGTATTTCACCTTCGCATTTGTGCTTCGGGAGCGTGAAAGCAACAAGATTCGTGTAGTAGTTGTCGAGGCTACTCCTTTTACCCGTGAGAAGCCAAAACGCGAGGGATCCCTTTACGGGCCGTTAGGGGCGATTATCGTGCTTTCAATGCTGCGCGCTCTCCCAAGGTACTTCATGAAGCGGAATAGCCGCATCGGCAAGGGATGTTCCTATCGAAGTAGGGTCTTTTCTATCTCCGAATCTGAGAGGCGCAAGTTGATGAAGGAAAAGTGCGAAAAAATCATTAGTGATATGAAGACTCAGGATGACAAATCCTAAATTAACAACTTTCAGGATTTATATGATAACTTCAAAACGATGTCTGAATAAAAAGGTGGAGGAGCAGTGCAGTGGAGTTTATGGAACCATATGGACTAGCTTTTTATTTACTTTTCTCTGCCTTTAAGAAATAGTATTTTTAAAAATCGACTCAAGTTGTTTCTTAATGAACTCCGCAGAGTCTCCTGACTCCGAGAATCAGGATGCGTCTGATATTTCTTTGCTCGACAATGACCAACCTGAGAAATATACGATTTCGCAAACCCTATTTGAGGATCTACAAAAAATGGGATTCAGTGAAAATGCTATAAAAAAGTCTATTGTTGCCGGATGTATTGATCAAAGCACATGCATTCAGTGGATCACTATGCATACTGATCATCCAGAGCTCGACGCGCCGCTTGCGAATGGTGTGGAGGTCACCGTCAAGTGCAAGAAAGTCCTCACTGAAGCGGAGCGGGAACAGAAAGTGAAGGAACTTCAGGAAAAAATAAAGGAAAAGAAAGAAGAGACCAAGAAGGAGTCTCATCGCAAGAAAGTTGAACTTACTGAAATGTGGCGGAAGTCGTTGGAGGTCAAGGAGGAGATGGACCAAGTCCGACGGCAGACCCAGTTGGATGAGATAAAACGCGATAAGGCCTCTGACAGGGAGGCATACCGGCAAATTAAGATTGGCATCATTGCGGATCGCTATAAACGCCAAGGGAAGAGTAGTGACGAGGCGCACATGCTAGCGGTAAAAGAATACGATGAAGAGCAGCTCCAAAAGCGGCAAATTGCGGCTGACCGTTTGAAAGACCTCAAAGTAGCCCCCGACGACCATCCCCATGAAGCCAGCAAGGGAGAATGGAACTTGAATTCGGTTTTAGATACCAGGAATGATCATAGCACGCATCTTCACACATTTTACGCTGCACCCGCGCCGACGATGGAAGAGGTGTCGACCTTGATTAGTGATATTCGCCGCGTAGCCGATGAATCTGAAGGCGCACAGTGCGTGCGCGTGCTGCTTACCATTTTCGGAAACATCAGGGACTCTCCCTTTGATATCAAGAAACGCACCCTCAAGACGGGCTCTAAGTTGCTTTCGCAGCATGTTCTGAGGCATGAAAGCGCCGTGAGGTTGATGCGGGTGTGCAATTTTGACATCGTCGTGGATGCGGATGGCAATGAACTTTTAGTGTGTACGACAGTTATTATTCACGTTCTCAATGAGATTATCAAAGCCTTAGAATGATTTTAATGGGTGTATATATCTACCGTTCTATCCATTTTTAATGACGGGATGTTTTTTATTAACAATCCTGTGATTTGCTATCGTTTTTTTTTGTAAATAACGAAAGGTAAAGCGATTTACTTTTCTTTCTTGTTTCTGTTTTGAATATTTCATATTTTTTATTTATTTTGCGTGCTCACCATTTGAAATTTTATTCAATAAACAATTCCTACTTTTAAGTTATGCAAGTTTCTTTTAACCAAAATTAAAAAAATGAAGGCTGCCTCTTCTTATGATCTCATTACGAAACAACGACATGGCGATATGAAAAGTCAAGCGGTTCCTTTTAGGCATTTGAACAACTATGTGAAAAAAGTCCTTATTCAGGAAGCCCTTGATCAGGTTAAAGGGCGTTATCCTCAGCTATCTGATGCGGTGGTTTTGGACTTGGCAAGTGGACGTGGTGGTGATATTGGGAAGTGGTTATATATGAAGAGCCCTGCTATTAACGCTGCGGAGGTTTCGTCCGCTACGAAGGCTTTAACGACAACTTATTACGAGTGCTACGATATCTCCGACGAGGCTGTTGCCGAGGCTCAACGACGATGCAACATACTTACATCAAACTCTCCAATCTCCACCTTTCACGCCTCTTTTTTTGTGGCGGACTGCTTTAGCGAGGATTTTTTGAAATGCACATTGCGGGAGTCGTCGCATTTCGGAAAATTTCACATCGTGAGCATTCAATTCGCCTTTCATTACGCCTGCCGATCGGAGGAAGCGATGCAAACACTGTTGGAGAGTATCTCGAGCGCCTTGGTGCCAGGCGGCGTTGTAATTCTAACAACTGTCAATCAGGACGAACTTTCGGGGAGGGTGGGGAGTAATCGACTTGGTAATTCATTATTTCAAATTAAACTCGTGGCGGATATGGCCGAGTTGTCGGCATCATATGAGAAGGATAAAGAATTCTTGTTACCACTAGGAACAAAATATCATTTCAATCTGGATGGATTTGTGGATTGTGAGGAATATGTAGTGCCGTCGAAGATTCTGGAGAACACCGCTAGTAAAGTTGGGTTGCAGAAGCTAAAATCCCATTCGCGACCGTTCCTCGATTTTTTGAATGATTATCGACAAAGCTGGAAAAATAACAAAGGGAATACTCTCTCCAATGATGAAGTAGAACTGGTAACTATCTACTGCTCGTTTTTATTTATCAAGGAGTAAATTTCTGTTATCTGCGTTTACAAATACACATAAATACGCGTGCATATTTGTATGACGTACAAATAAAATGGAGAATTAATCCACTTAACTGTGAAGATGTTCCTCCCTCATTCCCCTCTCCTTACCCTTCCCCTTAAAGTAATCAGTTTCTATCTCATTATAATTTGTGATATTAAATTGATTGCATCATACAGATAATTGTGCATTTTTTAAATATCTTTGTTATCATTCCCAACTTCTTTCCTATGCGCTTTATTTATCATTTCTTGATTTTTGAGGGTGTTAAAGAGTTTGATAGCTTCACGTTTTTTTGTGATATCCTTTCACATGCTGAAGCCATAGAGACTTCTTTTTACTATCAGTACTTCTCAGCCAATTTGTGAAATCAGCTAAGAATGAATACCGGGGAATGTGTGGATGTGCGTCGCCCATCAGACGAGAGCCTTAGGCACGCCTTACGCGCCCTTTTACGTGAAACCTTACCTCGGATTCGTGAGGTTTCCCCGCCCGCCCCCGCCTCCAAGCGTTGGCGGACGCGCGCCGTGATCCATGAAATCCGAGCCCTGCACTCGATGGAGGCGCTCGCGAATCTCGAACAGGAGCTCAGGTCGTTGATCCACTCTCAGGAAGTCCGCCAGCGCATGAAGCTGAGCACGACGATGCTTTGTGAGGAGTACCATCTAGAGGAAGTACTGGAGCTCAAGCAGAGAGAATGGGCCGAACTCGAGGCCATCACTAGGGCGGAAATGCAAGAACGAGAATGGTATGTTGCCATGTTTCTGTGTTTGAGGGAGGAGATACACCGCCGTGGTAAAATTTGCCGTATGTCTAGATCCTTTTTTCATTCGCAGAAGGAATTATATCAGGCCTATTTGATTTCTGCTCAAGAGGAGGGGGTTCGTCGGGTGTTGGAGAGTCAAGAAGAGCTCTTGCGCAGAGAAATCTTCCAGCGTCGGCTTATTGAGGTAGGGCAAGAGGTTCAGCTCGAGATAGCCAAGCAGAATGCCGGCGGGATTTTCAGGCGCGCCCATCGGCAGTCCTTGGAAATTTCGAGAGGGATTAAAAACATTTGTATAGCAGAAGAGCAAGATCGGTTCGGAATCGAAAAGGTCAACTTTTTTGAAAGACGTAGTATTGCCTACGAGGCTCAGAAAAGACTTTGCCATGTGATTCGAAACGACCTCATTAATATTGCGAATCTAAAAAGCAGATGGAAGGCATGTCAACGAGAAACCTACTTGCAGCGCTGTGTCGGGCGCTTAATGGATCAGGAGGAATCCTTGCGGGTCACGATAGAGCGGGCGCAACATACCGAGTATGCTCAGCTCTACTTGGCTCACCTGAAAGCATGGCGGACCGTTCCACAAATCCTTAAGCTGAAAGACTGGGAAGTTGTGAATCTGGCCTGCACGGTAGAGATGCTCGAGCGGAAGTATTTGAATGACCAGTATCGCGACGTAATTCGGCAGCTTGCCCGGCAGTTTTATTTGAAAAAGTTGCATATTGAACAATATGAGGACTTTTTGGGAAAGCTTAATAAGAGTTTATCTTCGCTGTTGAGGGAGGAGGACGAGGAGTTTGAGGCGATACATTTCCAGTATCATTCCTTCCTAACCGAGGTATTCTCTCTCCCCACCCTTGTGGTGGTCGAGTTAGACGAAGAGCATGCCCGAGGGGAGGTGATTTGTAAGGAAGCCATGGAGCGCGCGCGCTTAAAAAGCTATGTTATGCAAGATTTGCTTTACATCCAGGTGCTCAATGGTGCGCATGAGCTGTCGTTGTTTGAGTCCAATCAATGGAAACTTATCCTTCGCAAAAAGGAAGCGTTTCTACGGATGTTACCACTGGATCGTCTTCAGAAGGATGAGGTGTTCTTTCGGCTCAACATCGAGTTTGACGAGATGCGTAGAGGCGTGAAGCTGCGTTCGTCCGTCCGTAAGTCCATTTATGATTGCATGATTATCGATGCGGCGTCCTCGTTATTTGAGCAGGAGCTCCTCGGACGTCGTTCGATCGCGAGTGCTGAGATGCACGAACGTTTTAGCATCTTGTCGGAGCGCGTTTTGCACTCAGAGCTACGCAGCCGTTGGCAAACACTGGCGCTGGAAGAGCAATCACGCGCCCTTATAGTGAATGCACACCATAGCTGGATCAAAGAAATGCACCACAAGGCACTCACGATGTACTTTAGTTTAGCGCGCGCGCTCTTCTCCAGCAAGTTGGAGGAGGCGGAGGGGGTCTTGCGCGGGGGGATTATGGCCGTCGAGGAGGCATTCTGGCGGCAAATCGCGCACGCCTCGAGGCGGGATACCTTACTCCTGCGCGCCTGTGAGGCGGATGAGCTTCGCGGCCGGCTTTCCATTATTTACGAGGCGGCGCTGGTCATCCGCTCCCAGGCCTATGGCGCCGGGCACGACGCCGAGGTGAGCTACGCCACGGCGGGCCTCGAGGGCGCGCGGCGGGCCGCCCACACCTTGCCCGGGCTGGCGGACGTCATCCGAAGCTACCGGGCCCACGTGGAGGCGCTGGCGGAGCCCGCCGGCCGGGCCGCCATCCTG